GCACTGGCATCCCGCATTACCATACACCATGATGTGGGACGCCATGCCATGCCACGCCATGCCATGCCATGCCATGCCATGCCATGCCAAGCCATGCCATGCCATGCCAAGCCAAGCCATGCCATGCCATGCCATGCCAAGCCATGCCATGCCATGCCATGCCAAGCCATGCCATGCCATGCCATGTCATGCATTTGCATGTGCATTACGCGGCATCACAGATCACCTCACTCACATATCACGTCACTTGACTACCCTGCCCTGACCCCCTACCTTGTCTCAAAGGACTCTTCCCCCCCACATCCTCCGTATGAGCATCCTCCATATGCGTATCTGTACCATCCCCTCCGCCCTTCCCCTTGGGAGACTTTTTCCCACTCCCTGTTGGAGAGATGGGCGGCTTGCCTTCCCCCACTCCCTCTCCTCCCCCACTCTTTCCTCCTCCTCCTCCCTTCCCTTTCCCCCCATCCTGCTCCTCCTCCTCCCCCCCCAGCCCTAGTCACCACAGCAGCGGCAGCAGCGCTGGCAGCAGCCTTGGCAGCATCGGACGGCATGCCAACGACCCCAGAGCCCTCGGAGGAGGTGACAGCAGCGGCAGCTTCGGCAGCGGCGGTGGTGGCGGCGGCAAAAGAGGCTTGGTCGAGGGCGTGGGGGGAGAGGACGGAGTGCGAGAGGTGCATGGTGTGGTGCAGCACGGACTGGTCCGCCATGGCCAATAAGTCAGCGTCCCTGGCATCATAATCCCATGACCACATCATCTGGGGAAAGGGAGGGCATGTGGGGAAGGTGAGGGCGTGTGGGAGGAGAGGAGAGGGGAGAGGAGGGAGTGTGAGAGGTGCGTGGCATGGCCAGGAGGTCGGCATCACGGGCGTCATAGTCCCACGACCACATCATCTGGGGAAAGGAAAGGGAGGGCGGGGCATGGGGGAACATGCCCCGCATGGGGCGTCGAGGAAAGGCGGGGAGTGGGGGGAGGCAGGGAACAAACCAGACAACAAGACCACAAGGGGCACATAAGCTGGGAGTAACTTCCTCAAGAGAAGTTGATCAAACATAAGCAGTGCTCTCAAAACAGACTGTTCCCCCCAAAATAGCCTGTTTTGTTTTTGGCCTTCCAAAGTGTCAGTGCCTCGTAGAAGTAGATGTAGCCTGGGAAGGAGATCTCTCGGATGATAAGTTGATAACTGCACCCAAGGCACCATCCTCCAATAACCGGCCAGTTGGTCCTAAAAAAGGACAAAACACACATACCTCCCAGAAGTAGATGGAGTCGGCAAAGGACAGCTCCCGCCGGAACATGGCCATGATGGGCCGCACCGTGAAGAACATGGAGCCCGCGCCGATCTCGTCTGCAGAGGGAAGGGGGGGGGAGAGAGAGGGGAGCAATGCCAGCATGATAAAAGGGGGGAATGAAGGGGAATGAAGCATATACTCATGGCCATGATGGACCACACGTGAAGAACACGGGCAAATGGGTCAAGGCAGAAGGCAGAAGGCAGAAGATAGGGAGTGCATGCAGTATGTACCTACCTAGGTGAGCGTAGAGCTCGGGGTCAAGCACTCTGGTGATGTTCTTGAGATTGCATCGCAGCACATGTCTGGGAGCAAATATGGCCGGGAGCACAATACCTACGACCTACCGAGACAGGTCAGTACCTAGGTGGGCGTAGAGCTCGGGGTCGGGCACTCTGGTGATGTTCTTGAGGTTGCACTAGTAAGCGAGCAACAGGAGCAGTGCGTAAGAGAGCAACAAGTGAGTGAGACACACCACAAGGCATGGCATTGCACTCACCTAGGTGAGCGTAGAGCTCCGGGTCGAGCACTCTAGTGATATTCTTGAGGTTGTCAATCTCCTTCTGCACGCCGATGCTGGCCGATGTGCCCATGAAGTCGCTCCGCTGGTGGGCAGAGGCGTGACAAGCACAAGGTAGGGACGAGACAAGGAGATAAGCAGTCCACCCAACAATCGGTTAGTTGCCTCTCAGAAGCAGCGAAGCACGGATTGGAGCCAGTAGACTTCCTTCTCACCTCACCCCCCTTCCCCTTTGCTTTGACATACAGGGGAACGCTAGAGATCCCCTCCCCCTCCCCCTCCCCCCCCGCTCCCCCCTCCCGCCTACACCCTCCCCCTTGGACCTACAATGGGGCGCATGAGGCGCTCAAAGCACCAGAAGGCATCGGCGTTGTTGGGGAAGGTGACGATGAAAGGCGACATGAGGTCACTCATGCCTGCACCCGATGGGGGGAAAGAAGCGGGGGGCAGTGTTGGATGCAAGGGGCATGAGACAGAGGGGAAGGTGACGATGAAACGGGACATGAGGTCGGTCATGCCTGGAGTGTGGTGGGGAGGGGACGCAGGGCGACAGAGGGGTTGGAAGGGGGGAAGAGGCATGAGACAGAGGGGAGACGATGAAGGGCGACAGGAGGGGACAAGAAGAGGCATGGTGGACAAGAGGTCGCTCATGCCTGCAATGTCTGCAATGACGACGAGGGGAGGTAGTAGAAGGGAAGGGAGGGAAGGAGGGCAAGGGGTTGGTGGAAGACGCCTGAGACAGAGGGGAAGATGGCGATTCAGGGCGACACGAGGTGGCTCTCATCTCACCTTGGCAGTACCCCACTTCAGGGTTCGAGCCACGAGTACACAGCCAGCACCTCCCTGAGCCGCGAACCTGTTCCCCTCCTCCTCGAGGAACACCAGCGTGCGGTCCGCCCTCTTTACGTCCTTTAGTAGCTGTCCCAACAAAGCAATTGACGCACCTTGGCAGTAGTAGCCCACTTCCGGGTCGAACCATGAATAAACCGCCAGCACCTCCATGAGTCTTGATCGGTTGCCTTCCTCCGCGAGGAACACCAGCGTGCGGTCCACCCTCTGCACGTCCACGCCTATCTGGTGCAGCCCCATCCGTTCACCAGAGCAGCCTTAACCAGTTGACAAGTACAGCCCCAACTGCTGACACACACTCAAACGCGTCTCACCTTGGCAGTACCCCACTTCCGGGTCGAACCATGAATAAACCGCCAGCACCTCCATGAGTCTCGACCTGTTGCCCTCCTCCTCGTAGAACACCAGCGTGCGGTCCGCCCTCTGCACGTCCACGCCTATCTGGTGCAGCCCCAGCCGCCACTTGCGGATGCGCTCCTCCCCCACCCTCCGCACCAGCTTCTGCCGCGCCGTCAGCACCGGGCTCTGCCCCTCCCCTCCCTCCCTCCCCCCCCCTCCTTCCCTCCCTCCACCATTCGCCTCCACGATCACCACCACCACCACCACCAGCACCACCAGCACCGGTACCATCAGCAACAGCACCAGCAGCAGCAGCAGCAGAGTGGAGAGGGTGTCAATATCAGGGCCTTGGGTAGTAGGAGGGCACGGGCACGTTGGAGCCGTCCCTCCAGCACGCGAGGGAAGTCCACCACGACCCCACTGCCCACCACCGGTCAATCTCGTTGCCACTCGTGCTTCAGGTGCGCGTAGAAGTTCCTGAAAGGTTGTGGGGGGGTGTGGGGGGTTTGGGGGGGCGGGGGGGGAGGGGGGGAGCAGAAGGGGGTTAAAGGGCTGGGTGAGGGGCTGCAGTGGGAGGAGAGGGAGAAGTCAACCACCACCCCCGCTGCCCACCACCGAATGAACCTCGTTGCACTCGTGTTTCAGGTGCGCGTCGAAAGTTCCTGGGGGGTTGGAAGGCAAGGGGGGGGACGGGGGGCCGGTTGCAGTGGATATTGGAGGGGAAATAAATGACGCCGCTGCCGACCACCGGGTCAATCTCGTTGCATTCGTGCTTCAAGTGCGCATACAAGTTCTTGGCGTGGCTCACATGCGGGCTCACAGCTCACCTGCGGGCTCACAGCTCACCTGCGGGCTCACAGCTCACCTGCGGGCTCACAGCTCACCTGCGGGCTTCCCTCATGGCGTCCCTCTCCTCGTAGTAGGTGCTGTTGGGCGAGGAGAGCCTTCAACAACTGCTCCCAGCTGCTCCATGTTCTCATCTCGCACCTGTGGTTTGCGTCTTTCTACCGTCCTCACATCTCACCTGCGTGCTCACACCTCACCTGCAGGCTTCCCTCATGGCGTCCCTCTCCTCGTAGGTGCTGTTGGGCGAGAAGGGCCCTCAATGAATGCTGCTCTGCACCCTCGCTTCTCACCGCTAGGTTGCGTCTACCATGCTCTCAGCTCACCTGCGGGCTTCCCGCATGGCGTCCCTCTCGTCGTACGTGCTGTTGGGCGAGAAGAGCCCCAGGAGAAACGGCCACACCTCCGATCGAATGCTCGGCTCTATGCCCTGGCGGCGGGAACGAGTGAGAGGGATGAGTGAGAGGTCGAGTGAGAGGGATGGGATGAGTGAGAGAACGAGTGAGAAAACGAGTGAGAGAACGAGTGAGAAAACGAGTGTGAGAACGAGTGAGAGAATGCGGGGGAGAACGAGTGAGAGAGACTAGACCAACAGGGAAGAGGAAAAATAGGGAGAGGGGGAGGGGGGGAACAGAAGGACATCATTGCCCTACCAGTACATGACGAGGTGACTTTTGAGTCGACTCAAAAGTCACCTCGAGAGACTAGACCAACAGGGAAGAGGAAAAAGAGGGAGAGGGAGAGGGAGTGAACAGAAGGACATCATTGCCATACCAATACGTGTGTAATGAGTCGATTTCTGAGTCGACTCAAAAATCGACTCATTACACACGGATCATTGCCATACCAATACATGACGTACATGCCATGCAACCAGCACCATGCCATGCGACTCGCACCATGCCATGCGACTCGCACCATGCCATGCGACTCCACCATGCCATGCGACTCGCACCATGCCTGCCATGGAATGAGCACATCGTGCCATGGGTATTATGAACCCGCACCATTCGTCCGTCCCATGCTAGATCCCCCCTTGTACATAATACCCACCAACGCCCCCTGTAAGCGTTTCAGCGCCCACCCCTCGTTATAAACGCACATCCCTTGCTAACCACTCATCCCTCGCTGTCTGTGCCAGAACCCACCCCTCCTCATAAGCACCCACCCCCCGCTATAAGCACCCACCCCCCGCTATAAGCACCCACCCCTCGCTGTATGTGCTTGAGCGCCGCATCTATGGCCCACACCCGGCCGAACTCGTCCAGACACGCCTCCCACCTCTCCTTTGACAGCCGCTTCTTCACCTGCAGTGTGATAGTAACGGGGGCTAAGTGAGAGATTACAATGTGCGATTATACCGAAGTCCCGAAGCTCCAGCACCAATGGCCCACACCCAGCCGAACTCGTCCAGGCACGCCTCCCACCTCTCCGCTGATAGCCGCTTTTTCACCTGCATGCCGTGTGTGATAGTAACGGGGTTGCAATGAGAGAGAGGGAGCGATGAGAAGAGCGAGTGGAGGGGAGTGGAAGGGGGGAGGGGATGGGGGGGAAGAAGATTTGGGATGGAAGCATGACGAGGAAAATGTACTGATGCTAAGTCCTTAATGCTGACGGCCTGGCGTGATTGTCGGCTGGTATTGGCTGACTGACGGTCTGGTATGACTGACTGACGGCCTGATGGGTTGGCTGATGGCTTGGCGATTTTTACTGACGGCCTGATAAAAATAGTTGACGGTCTGGTATAATTGCCTGACGGCCAGCGTGCTTGACTGACGGTCCGAGGTGGTTGATGGATAGCCGTTCGCTGCTGATTGACGGCCCGGTAGGGTTCCGGTTGAGCGGCCTGAAAATGCACGAAATGGGTCAGAATGGCTCGCTCATTCTTCTCCCCTAAGTGCCTTCTTTTTTCTTTCTTCTCCTCCCTTTAAGAATTATTTATTTCTCCTTACCCGCGGACGGAACTTGCTGACTTGGCTGACATCAACATCCTTCCTAACGGGGTACTCCTGGTCCAGATCCTCCGATACACGCGACCCCTTTATAAGCCGCGAGAAGAAAGACATTGTAGCTGGTCCTCCACAAACCAGACTAATAACCCACAGATCCAACCGTGCGCCTGGTAAGCTTTACGAGCTAAGCCGAGTTAGCCACTCAGACCCTGACGCTTCTAAGACGTGTATTCCTCGTCATCGTTGCTGCTCTACAAGGCTGCCACGAGAGCACGCGACTTGTCCTGAACTCTTTACATAATCAGGACATGCGTCGTCCGAGATATTTCGCCAACGATTTGCGAATGGCGATAGATACGGTCGTTGCTAGCGAAGCTCGACTCATATAACGTGCACGTCTCGGTTCTCTTCGCGAATCGCGGAAAGGGCAGAATCGCCTCTACGAACCTCAACTACAACGGTCACTTGTTCTACAGTCCAAGAGCCTGGAGAACCAGCTGACAGACTTTGCTGCAGCTGATGTGGTTCTATCTAGAAGATGATGCTGTTTTGCTGCTGACATGGCTGGCTTATTAATCTGGCTCGGACGTTGGAATGGGATGGGATGGGATGAAATGGGATTGGATGGGATTGGATGGGATGGGGTGGGGTAAATGAAGGCAGAACAATATGGCGCTTCGAGGCTGGTTGGCTGCTCGTGTCAGTGGACGGTTGCCTGCCTACAGCGCATACGATGCCTATGTCCTCCCAGTCTGCCTACTGCAAGGGAAGTGAGTGACGCACGTCGAACAGCGAGAACCGCGGATACACTGTTCTAACCATCCGTTAAATCAATTTCAGCTGTACTCGAGGAATAGATATGACAAGCCATTCCGCAACAACTACCTACTTAGTCGGACATAGTTTCTAGTCTCATGAGCCTAAGTCGCACAAAGTATGGCACTACTGGCGTTGTTGTTAAGAACATCCTTGCGAGCTTGATCTAGGATGCATTCGATGGCTTTCTTCCATTCACTCGTGCTTCGCTGCTTCATTTAATGTTGCCACTGGGACAGGTCCAAGTGGAGAAATGTCCACTGGGCTCTGGGCTCCACTCCCACTTTCTGAACCATGAAATGGAGATGGCAGCACACACTGCACACACAAAACGAAAGTAGGAATTAGTACGAGCAATAACATTCTGACACCAAACGTCCAACGTCCAAGCCTGACCGAGAACGTGGACTTACATTTGGAGATGCTCTGAAATGCATAAGAGCAAGTTGCCCCATCTTCGCTCCTGCACCAGACACCAAGCGTCCAGCGTCCTTCCCATCCACAATAACCAGCTCCTCGTTACAGCCCCTGCTGACACCAACCGGTGGCCCCACCTCCTTTCCTGCACCCGATTCTGCCTGCAAAGCAATGACTCTGTTGGCAGCACCCTGCCCCCCTTGCTTCTGTGCATCCACGTCCATTGGAGCAGTGCAGATGGGCTTGTCCCCATTCATAAGCGTAGCAGCTGCCATGTCACTCACAGTCATGCTGCACAACACAAGGAGCACACACAAGCAGATGTTTAGGGATCAGAAATGTTGGAAATGAAACCACCAACCATAGGCCCAGCGACAAAGGCTTCACTTACTTGTTAGCGTTGATAGATCCCTGCTGTCCTCCGCAGCTGGGCACTTGCACTGACGCCTGCACGTACTGTCCTTGCTGCTGCTGTGGAGCCGAACCAGCAGCAGCACCGGCAGCAGCACCAGCAGCAGTACCAGTAGAAGGCGGGGAAGCAAGTGTGACAGGAGGCGTGTAGGTCCCAACTTGGGTTAATTTCGGGTCTGGCTGCACCACAGATACGACTTCAAGCAGGGACCCAGTCACAGGGGAACTAGCAGGCAACCCTTGCTGATGATGCTCAAGCTGCTGCTGTAACTGCTGCTGGTTCTGCTGCTGGTGGTTCTGCTGCTGTGGCACCTGCTGAGAGTGGCCCTCCACAGCATGAGCAGGCGGTGGGAGAGCAAGCGGAGGCGGGTGGCCTCCAGCCACTGCCCCTGTGGGCACCGAAACCACAGAAACGACATCTGCAGGCACAGGAACTGCAGAAGCCACAGCCGTGGACACACAGACGACACCTGCGGGCACAGAAGCCGCACCAGCAGCAGAGGTCGCCAGCACAGCGTGAGACTGGTCCCCCTCCCTCCTCCTATCTCCCCCTCCCACCGTCCCACACTTCTCCCCTCCACTCCCCTCCACTCGCTCTCCCTCACCCATGCACAAACGCCATTCTCCCGTCCTGCCGCATGCTCCGCCAATGCAGAAACAGTGTCGCCACCACTATTGCCACTCGATGCAGTGACTGTCCTGTCAGCAACCCCGCCACCCCCACTGTTAGCCCCCATCCCCCTACCTGCACTGGCGTCCATCGCACCAGTGCTAACGCCCCGCCCATCGTCCACCGACTCCATCGCTCTGACTCCATCACTCGTAAGACACCCATCTGCAGCAGAGGCGCCCTGCGTCCCACCACTGCCAACGGTGCCTGTGGTGGCCGTGGTGGCGGTGGTGGCAGTGGTGGCTGGGGTGGGGTCCCCCTCGTCAGCCACGAGGGAGGTTCCGGGCGTGGCCTTGTCGTTGAGCTTGCGTGCGCGGTTGCGGCCGCGGTGCAGGTGGCGCTCGCAGTACTTCTGGTCCGCCACCACCTGATGCACGAGAGCAGGACCGAAAATAGGAGAAAAAGGTGAGGACCGAATACGAAATCCCAATGCACGAATAGAAATGGTTTTTGGCGAACAGAAATCTCTTTGCGTGAAGGAGGAACTGTGATCGAGTGAATGAGCTCTGCCAGTGAAATGACATGGGCTTGGGTGTGCTCCTGGGGAGGTGAGAACGACGAGAAACGCACCTCTCGGGCGCATCTCCACTTCTTGCCGTCTGTGCGGCGGCACCTGAACGGCTCCAGATCCACTTGCATCGACGGCCCCCAGAACGCTGCACGCACACATGGAGTAACATTTGAAGCCGTCTTCATAAGCGCACAAATATCGCAATCGCGAAGCAGTAACGCGCTGCGAAGGGCGCAACTCGGAACAGCACACAGAGAAAAAAAAAAACGACCACGATGATCGCATAAGGCTGCGGTTAGAACTCCTGTTTCGGCACACATACATGGCATGAAGGCTCCCATAGGGTGGAATGCCTGAAGGCCGAACGCCAGCGGCGGCATGGACACGCGCAGGCGGGAAACGAGCTCCAGCGGGACAGGCGCTCCCGCGACGAGGTACTTGAATATGAGCGCCTGCTGCTCCAGCTCCTGCCACTGCGCCACCGTGAACGGCCCGCACGCGCCCGATTCCACTGCGAACGGAACGCGCAATTCCAGGAAAGTGAGTCAGACGGAAGGATCACGAGAAATTGCGAGCGAGGAAGACGAACGGTGGCATTAATCCGCACGGGAATCGTTGAGGGAGTATGGGAGTCGTACAACGGAGAGGACCGCGGGACGCTCCGCGGCTACTGCGTACCTTGCATGGAGCCTGGCTTGGGACGTGAGAAAGCATTTGCGCCGCCTGCATAGGCGTCGCTTGCATTGGCGTCGCCTGCATCTGCGGCTGCGGCTGCGGCTGCGGCTGAGCCATCGGTTGAAATTGTGGCTGGGGTGGATGAGGGCTTATTTGCATCTGACCTCCACCAACAGACGCAACAGGATTGTACTGAGGAGGCGCTGCTGCTGCTGCTGGCGCTTGGTTCTGGTACTGAGGTGCCGGAACTTGAGAGGAATAGATAGGCTGCATCGGTTGCGGCTGCTGCTGCTGCAGTTGCTGCTGCTGCGGGTTGCTTTGAGACTGCAGGAATTGCTGTTGCGGCTGTGGTTGCGCTATCAGAGGTGGAGTGATTAATGGTTGAGGAGCCGCAGACTGTTGGGGGAGCGCCGTTGGCGCAGGTGCTGCCTGAGAGGGTTGCATCTGAGGCTGATGCATCTGGTAACTCGGTTGTGCTTGAGGCTGGTGAGCTGGCTGATACTGCTGTTGCTGCGGCTGCGGCTGCTGCTGGTATGCATTCGGTTGAGCCACAGGTGCTGGCTGCTGCTGCTGCTGGGCGTACAGATTTTGCTGCTGATACTGCAGCTGCGGCTGTTGTGGCTGCTGTGCCTGGAAGTTTGCCTGCGGCTGATGTTGCGACTGGGTCTGGTAGACTTGTTGCTGCTGCGGTTGTGGCTGCTGCTGAAGTTGCGATTGTGGCGGGTACGTTTGCTGGTGCGACTGATAAGCCTGCTGCTGCGGCTGAAATGATTGCTGCTGCGTCTGGAAAGTCTGCTGCTGTGGTTGTTGCGTCTGCTGATACATCACCGGCTGCTGGTACTGCTGGGCCTGCTGCAGAGTTACTTGCTGAGGCTGCTGCTGATATTGCATTTGCGAAGACTGATAGTTGCTTTGTGGCTGCTGTTGCTGTGCCGGATGCTGGGGTTGCTGAACAAGAGCTCGCTGCTGATTGGAGCTCTGCTGCTGGAAAGGCGGCTGACTAGACGCCATTTGCTGACTCAGAAAAGCAGGCTGCTGTTGCTGTTGCTGTTGCTGTTGCAGTTGCTGAGATTGGTTCTGCCAGTGCTGAACTGGTTGTGTTTGAGCTTGATTGGGAGCCATGAACCGTGTCGCTTGTTGCTGCTGCATAACACCCTTGAGTAGCTCGAACCTGTGGCTGAGAAGAAGGCTGCTGCTGCGTCTGACCTTGATGCTGCTGCTGCTGCTGATGTCAAGCTTCCGAAGATGCACCCTTGAGCCGGTATAGGCTTCTGGAAAAATCTCAAGTTAGGATGGTGTGCAACAACTTCAATCAGCAAACGAAGAGGAGTGCCATGAAACAGCCGTAGAGGTAATCTTTACCCTGTTTCAGCCCTGGGTGCCTGACAGGAAGGACGGATGTTGCCGTGTGATGTAGATGTTGGTTTGGAGCCAACACGTTGGCGAAGCACTGCTTTCTCGGCGCCTGAAAAGCCGAGCTTAGAATAGAAAAGGGATATCCTACAGCACGGGAAGTAACGACTACCTATAAACGCAATGCTCACCATATAGCTCGAATAAACGATGCGAGCGAGGGTAGCGCTTGAGAAACTACACTGCCTTCGCCCTAGTCGCAGCGGCGTTCAACATAACTATGGTAGTGATCATAATAAGTTACATATCTAACGACGGTTTGCAGAGTTAAAATTGTCAAAATGGAAGCTTGATCTCGTTCTGACATCCAGAAGTATTCAGCTGGTCAGCAGAGAAGACACCTGGTTGCAGGCAGAAACTATGAACGATACTAGCCTTTCTACGTTCTGATAGGTCATGCAAACGGTTCAGGAACAGACAGAACGGTCAGAAGAGGCATCAGGCGAGCGACTTGATCATGGAGCTAAGACCAGGGGTCCATGGCATTCACTGGTCACTTCTGCTTCTAAAATGTTGTAGTTTCGTACGCCTGCTGTCAGATGTGGCTCATTCCCGAAACTCCCTGTGCCTGCCGAAACTGCAGGAGATGGCAGAGGAGCATTCAGGCAAGGGGGGGGAGAATAAACAGCGTTGATCAGTCCATCTGGGTCTGGGGCGAAAGGTATTTCTGCTGCGTGAAGGGTGATGCAGCTGATGGGATGGCCTTGGGAATGTCGTCAGGGCTCTCGTGGGGCCAACATCAATGCTCGATCATGATTGATGATGTCCATCAATCAGAGCTCCTGATGAGGGATGCTGTCAGACAGCAAGAGCATCCCCTCCTGCCGAAGCTAGAGAAATTCCCACTGGCGGGAACGGTTGTCAGCAGCCAACGCAACCAGTGACCTGGGTCTGCTGATGCCGAGCCTCATGCAACTGGTTCGCTCTGACACCCTTGGAACAAGGTCCGGGAAGTGAGATATATCCGAACCAAGGGCACCGCCAGCTTTCGGCAAAATATATTCACCTGGACACGCGCCCAATACGCCTGACGACGGTTCGCCCAGGGAATTGGCGGGATGATAAGAAACGAGACTTGCCTCCACCACCTAATTGGCAGGGGAAGATCCCAAATCGAATGGGTTAAGAAACTCTACACCATACCTACTATCAAGTGAGAAAGTTGTCTATTATGATGGATAGTGGACTCCTAAAAGAGAACCTTTTGGATTTCACTTATAGGTGTGCCTAAGTGGTGATTCCACAAATTGTTTGTGAACAAAACAAGCAAGTGCTTGTGGTGCACTACCAATCTTAAATGGTGGACAGTATCAGAAAATTGAATGATGGTGATAGGGGGAGAGTACACACAATATAGCTAAGTGTTGTACCCTCTAAGAGGCTACCCTATACAGTCTATACAAACATAACAAATAGACATGTTTGACACACCCCCTAGACTGCATAGGGGAAAGTCCTAAACAAACAGCTCAGGGCGGCACTACTAGTCCAACCTCTGAGACAAGGGTCTGAGCGACCAGTCAGAAGGAGTACAGACAAGGCAAGCAAAGAGCAGGGCGGCACTACTAGTCCAGCCACTGGGAGAGGACACAAGTCCAGTCTGAGTATACATATAAAGGACAGTACAAAGTCAAGGTCCTAGCAAGTGAGAGGCTACAGGAACTAGACCAAGCTGTACACAGTGCCGCTGATGATCTTTAGGCGCAAGCGCCTTCGTAAAGATATCAGCCGTGTTGGCACCTGAGGCCAAGTGTACTACGCGAGCCTGACGTCGCTGCTGTAGCTCACGCAGGAGGAAGTACCGCAGCTGAATGTGCTTCGCTCTGCCCTCGAGTCGAGGCTCCTGACACAGGAGGATCATGGCCCTGTTGTCAGCGAACAGGACCGGGGCAGAGCTAGGTCGCTCACCTAAGTCAGTGAGCAAGAAGGTCAGCCAGCGGAGCTCCTGTGCCGCCATGGCACCGGCGTAGATCTCAGCCTCACAGCTGGACTGTGCAACAGACGAGGAGCGAGTAGCTCTCCACGAGACGGCACCTGAGCCAAGGCTGAAGCAGTAGCCCTGGGTAGACCGGAGTGTCTCAGCGTCGTCTGCCCACGAAGCGTCTGTGTGCCCAGTAAGGACCGCTGGCCTGCGTCCTCCTAGCACTAACCCCATGCCCGATGTACTAGCAAGATAACGCAGAACCCTCTTAGCGGCAGACCAGTGCTGCGGTCGGTGTCTGCCTGTGGCCACAAAGCGAGCCAGGATGCTGAGAGGGTATGCGAGATCTGGGTGAGTGCAAGTCATCAGGTACATGAGGCAACCCACCAGCTCTGCGTAGGGGCCGCTGGGCTCTACCAACTCCTCAGACACTGGAGCGGAGAGCCTGTGGTCTACAGGCAGAGGGGTGGGCTGTGCAGAGGAGAACTGAAGGCTGAACCTCTGAAGGACCTGGCGCACCAAGTGTGACTGAGTCAGGGTGATGGTGCGCGCAGCTCTGTCCCTGGAGATCTGCAAGCCAAGGTAACGGCGCAGTTCTCCAAGGTCAGTGCAGGTGTGTCTCTTCAGCAGCTCTGCCTTCACGGAGGCCAGCGCGTCCCTGTCTGCTGTGGCAAAGACCAGGTCGTCGACGTAGACGAGGATGTAGAACGGAGTCTGGCCAGCACGAACGAATAGTGAAGGGTCTGCAGAAGACGGAAAGAACTGCAGGTCAGCAAGCGTAGCACGCAGAGTGTCGTGCCACTCACGGGGAGCCTGGCGCAGGCCGTAGACGGGACGCCGCAGGAGCCACTGGGTCCCAGGAGGGAAGGTGCCAGTAAAGCCCGGAGGGCGGCGCAGGTAGACCTGCTCGTATAGGCTGCCCTGAAGGAAGGCAGTGGAGAAGTCGAGAGAGTGAAGCTCGTAGTCACGCTGAGCAGCTAGGTGTAACAGAACCCGAAGAGTAGTCATATTCGGGGTCGGAGCGAAAGTCTGGAAGAAGTCCACCCCCTCGCGCTGACTGAAGCCTCTAGCCACATAGCGCGCCTTGAAGACAGGCGGCTCTCCAGGAGGGCGCTTCACCTTGAAGAGCCAGCGGCCATCGACTACGTTCACCCCAGGTGGGGGAACTGCGTCGACGAAGGTGCCGGTGGATCTCCAAGATGCCATCTCCTGCTCCATGGCAGCTATCCACTGAGAGGCCCAGGGTCCCGAAGTCGCCTCAGCGTAAGTGCGAGGGGTCGGGATGTCAAAAGCGTCTGGGTCACCCTCAGGGACTAGCAGCATGGAACAGAGATGGGGAGCAGCCTCAGACAGGAAAGCAAGCTCGAACTGGCGGTCCTCCAGGACGTCACTGCCAAGGGCAGGAGCACCCCCGACAGACGGAGGACAGGCAGGGTCAGAGACCAGAGCGGTGGCGTAGTCAAGGCGGCGGGTAGAGGCGAAGTCAGCGACAGCAGCGACAAGAGCGTCAAGGCACGAGACTGGAACAGACGGGTCGGTAACGAGAGAGGCAAGGACCCGAGGAACAAGGGGACGAGCGGCACGAAGGTAGTCGGACAGCGGGGGGGGCGCAACAACAAGGGAGGACGGAGGAGGCGACGGCAGAAGGGGAGGACGAGACGCGTGTGAACGAAACAACATAGGGTGGGAGCGCAAGACAGGCGAGGCAGGACGAGCACGGGAGGGACGGTGAGACCAGACGTGCGATGGAGGAGTCGGGTCAGGAGACAGGGGAGGGGACACAGGAGGTGAACGAGGGGGGAGACGGGCCGGGGACGAGTCCGGCGGAGGGAAAACAGGGCCGTAGACAGGAAGAGGAGGAGACGGTCGGGGAGGAACCGACGCAGGGTCGGGGGACGGAAGGCCGAGCAGGCGAAGGGCGGACACCGGCGGGGACTGCTGCTGCGGCGGCACAACGGCGACACCTGGACCGCAAGCTGCTCCTCGGCTACCACCGGCACGCTCCACACCCGCACCCCAGAGGGACCACCCTCAGGGCGACCGGGACGAGCACCCCCAGAGTCAGCGAACGGGGGCTGCGACTGCGGCGGCGGCGGCGACGGCGACGGCTGCAGTGGCGGCAGGGACGGCGGAGGAGGGGACTGGGGAGGGGACACCTGGGGAGGGGCGGCCGGCGAGGACTGCACCGGAGGGCCACCAGAGTCAGAAGACTCCTCAACCGGGTCCACGGACGGAAGGGGGGTGACATGGGAGACACCAGAGGGGGCGGGACGGGGAGGAGGAGGAGGAGGGGCAGGGACTACCGGGGAAGGGGTGACCAGGAACAGGGGGGGGGTAACCGGGGGACCACGGTGGGGGAAGCGGCGGTATTAGGAGACGGACTCGTCAAAGGTGACGTCACGAGAGTGAAAGAAGCGGTGAGACGGCGGGTGGTAAAAGTGCCAGTCGGACGCGTCAAGGGGAAAACCGAGGAAGACGCAGGGAAGGGTGCGGGCAGTGAGCTTGTCCGTGCTGGAGGCACGGACGTGAGCAAGGCAGCCCCAGACGTGGAACGCAGACGCGTCACCAGGAGACCCAGTCCACAGACGGGTCGGCGAAACCTGCGGCTGCTGAGGGTGCGGCCACAGGTTAAGCTGGTGAGAAGCGTAGCGCACAGCGAACGGCCACAGAAAATGGGGTGCACCGGCATGGACCATGGAGGTGCGAGCGACCTCCATGACCAAGCGGATGCGTCGCTCAGCGACCCCATTCTGCTGTGGGGAGTCCGGTAGGGTGAACGTCTGGGTGATGCCCTCCGCACGACAAAAGCGACCAAGGACACATGAGGCAAACTCGCCACCACGGTCTGAGTGAAGACGCAAGACAGGGAGACCGCGGTGGACACGCGCAGAGACAAGCCAGGGGATGAGGGCGCCAGGCACGTCGGCCTTGCGCTCCAGGGGAAAGACTGTGGTGTAACGAGTGAAGTCGTCGACAAGCACAAGGAAGTAGCGCTCGCGACGCGGCCCAGGGACGGGGGCGGGGCCCCAGACGTCCAGGTGCAGGGTCTGCAGCGGCGCGACGGTAGGGGGGAACGAGGAGGAGTGAGGGGCACGGCGAAGCCGACCCTCGACACAAGGCGTGCAAGGTGGAGCTGGGGAGGAGGGAAACGCGGGGAGTGAACCTGGGAGACCAAGGACAAGACCGTGCTGGGACATGTGACGCAGACGCGGGAGCGCAGGGTGACCTAGGCGGTGGTGCCACAGGAGGGTCGGGTGAGTGAGGGAGCGACAGGAGCAGGCAGCAGCAACCTGGGTAGACACAGCCACTTGAGGGGGCGCTCCAGCCCGGGGGGGCACGGTGTCCAGAGTGAACAGGCCGGACACCGGGTCCCGGGGGAACGTGGACAGGGGGGCACCAGTGGCGGCCTCGGTACAGACAGCATACCGCTCGTGACCAGGGAACGTAGTGGTGACGCCAAGGTCCTGGAGGCAGCCGACACCAACTAGGTTCCTGGAGAACGAGGGGATATGCAGACCTGTAAGAGAGCCCGAAGGAACCGCCGGACAGGGAAGGGTGGTGGAACTGCGGGCGACTACCGGACCGCCGGAGGGGTCAGCAAGAGAAACGGCAGCAGGAACAGGAAGCGGCGTCAGGGTGGTGGAGTCGCGGAAGAAACACCGAGAGGCGCCAGAGTCCAAGGTGAAGGAAAGCGAAGCCGAGGGGTCTGGCGACGGAACGACGGCAGAAGCACCAAGACTACACAAAGCAGGGGATCCTACGCCTGACGCAGCAGGGGGGGCTAAGCTAGGCACACCTACACTAGGCAACAGTGAGTAATAAGTCGGAAGCACACTAGAGTCATCAGCATACATCACATGCAGAGCAGAAACAATGGCATCCATGTCCATATCAAAGATCTGAACCTGACGACTAAGCAAACTGTGCCAGTCCGGGAGGTCTGGCGACGGGCCGAAACGCTGACGAAAGAGGTCGTCCAGGCGACGAAAGCAGCGGGGAGTGGAGTGACCGATCTTACCGCAAACGAAACCGCGGCGAGGACCGGTCTGGATCTGGTACTGACAACGCCCGCCGGAAGAGCCACCTCGCGGCACACCACCACGCGCCCGTCCACCGCCAGCGCCGGGCCACCCTGGCGGGAGAACACTCGTCTGCCGCGTCTGCGACGGCTGCTGCGGCTGCTGCGAAGGCTGCGACTGCGGCGGCTGCTGCGGCTGCTGCAACTGCAGGGGCGGCGACTCAGCTGGACTGGGCAGGGTCCCCTCGTCCGCTCCAGCACCAGGCGACCCGACCCCACCACTACCCCCGCCCGCACCCCCGCCGCCCCCTCCGCCGCGCCCAGCCTTGGGGCGGCGGCCCTTCCCCGAACGGGCCTGCGCTGCAGCAGCAGTCTCAGCCACTGCGGCAGAGCCGTCGGAGAAGGTACACTGAGCAGGGGCACAACCCTGAAAGATAGGGACCGGCACGACACCGCTCGCCTGGGCGATGGAGCGGTGACGGGTCTCTATCACAGTCAGGGTGTCGACAAAGTCAGTGAGGGTGAGGTCTGCGGGGTGAACACTAAGGAAGCGGTCGCGGGCGACAGCAAGGCGGTCAGGGAGGCGGGTGGCAAGCAGGTAGAGGGTAGAGGTAATGGGCGGCTGGTGGGCTCTAAGCTGTGCGTCAGTGCAGGCGGCGCGCCAGGTCTCCTCTATCGAGCGCAGGTGGGCATCGAGGTCAGAGACAGTGGGGAACGAAGCAAGGTCAGGAAAGAGCAGCGGGAGGATCAGGCGACCAACCGAGGCAGCCGGAGGGGTGGAATAGCGCTTGATGACAGCATCTAAGTATGCCTGAGCAGTAGTGAGGGACCTAAAGCGAGGACGCTCGGACGGGGGGAGGGCGTTGCTAATGGCAAGCTGGGCGACAGCATCGCGAGAAAGCCAGACAGAGCGCGCACGGGCAGTGGCAGCAGTAGACTCACGCTCAGTGGGTGTGGGGTCAGCGGGCAGAATAGCAGGAGGGTCTGGGCAGGGGAGCGTACCGTCAAGGTGTGCGGAAAGCGGTTCACCATCCTGCCGCTGGCCAGTGAGTTGGCGGCGGAGGTCGGCAAGCCACGCCTCGAACTCTAGGGGCTGACCTTCAGCGTCGAAGCGAAGCTCCGCCGCCATCAGGAACAGTCCAGTGCTGTGCAGGGCGGTGCAGTGCGGTGCAGTGCGGTGCAGTGCGGTGCAGTGCGATACAGTGCGGTGCAGTGCGGTACTGTGCGGTACAGTGCGGTGCAGTGCGGTGCAGTGCGGTGCAGGGCGGCACGGAGCAGGGCGGGGTGGGGGGGGGGGGGGGGGAACCGTACCAGTGAGGAGGACGGGGCCGGGGCTGGCCCGACGGGGCCGGGCGGGCGCGACGGGGCCGGGCTGATGCGACAGGGCCGGGACAGGGCGACGGCCGAGCGGGCGCGACGGGGCCGGGCTGGGGCGACGGGGCCGGGCGAGTGCGGCAGGGCCGGCCCGGTGCGACGGGGCCGGGCGAGCGGGACGGCGGCCGGGCAGGTGCGACGGGGCCGGGCGGCTGTGACGAGGCCGGGCAGGGTGCGACGGGGCCGGGCGGGTGCGACGGAGCCGGGCGGCTGCGACGGGGCCGGGCGAGCGCGACGGGCCGGGCAGGGTGCGACGGCGCCGGGCGGGCGCGACGGGCCGGGCGGCAGCGACGGCGCCGGGCGGGCGCGACGGGGCCGGGCGGCGGCGACGGCGCCGGGCGGGCACGACGGGGCCGGGCGGCGGCGACGGGTACGACGCGGCCCAGGAGGGGCGCTACGGGGCCCAGGAGGGCACGACGGGGGGCCCAGGAGAGGCGCAACGAGGCCCAGGAGGGGCGCTACGGGGCCTGGGAGGGGCGCGACGGGGCCTGGGAGGGGCGCGACGGGGCCCAGGAGGGGCGCTACAGGGCCCAAGGAGGGCGCGACGGGGCCCAGGAGGGGCGCTACGGGGCCCAGGAGGGGCGCAACGAGGCCTGGGAGGAGCGCGACGGGGCCCAGGAGGGGCGCTAGGGGGCCTGGGAGGAGCGCGACGGGGCCTGGGAGGGGCGCGACGGGGCCTGGGAGGGCGTTACAGGGCCCAGGAGGGGCGCTACGAAGCCCAGGAGGGGCGCGACGAGGCCCAGGAGGGGGCGCTACGGGGCCCAGGAGGGGCGCGACGGGGCGCTACGGGGCCTGGGAGGAGCGCGACGGGGCCCAGGAGGGGCGCTAGAGGGCCTGGGAGGGGCGCGACGGGGCCTGGGAGGAGCGCGATGGGGCCTGGGAGGAGCGCGATGGGGCCTGGGAGGAGCGCGACGGGGCCTGGGAGGGCGTTACAGGGCCCAGGAGGGGCGCAACGGAGCCCAGGAGGGGCGCGACGAGGCCTGGGAGGAGCGCGACGGGGCCCAGGAGGGGCGTTAGGGGGCCTGGGAGGAGCGCGACGGGGCCTGGGAGGGGCGCGACGAGGCCCAGGAGGGGCGCTACGGGGCCCAGGAGGGGCGCGACGGGGCGCTACGGGGCTTGGGAGGAGCGCGACGGGGCCCAGGAGGGGCGCTAGAGGGCCTGGGAGGGGCGCGACGGGGCCTGGGAGGAGCGCGATGGGGCCTGGGAGGAGCGCGACGGGGCCCAGGAGGGGCGCTAGGGGGGCATGAGCGGAAGCGGTAGGTGGGGGGGGGGGATCCTACCTACGCGTGATACCATATCAGAAAATTGAATGATGGTGATAGGGGGAGAGTACACACAATATAGCTAAGTGTTGTACCCTCTAAGAGGCTACCCTATACAGTCTATACAAACATAACAAATAGACATGTTTGACAGACAGGACATAGCTGGCTACAACACGCAACTATGGCAGCTGCTACTTCCACATCACCTCTCATCTCACCCCACCATATAGCCAATTTTGCCATGAACGCACTGGTGTCTGGTGTCCCCCACCTTGCACTCGTGCCACCCTATGTAGGAAATCCATGCACATCAAACCAAACATGGTAAGACGCCATTGTGAATGGCAAATGGTTACCATATATAGCAAGACTACCGTACCATGCAACATGTGTTTTGGCCCAGGATATCCCTGGAACCTTGGCTGGTCAAGCTATGTTAATACCAGAAACACGCTGTGTCACTGCACTGTTTCAACACAGGCCAGCGATCCTGAACACGGTAGTGAAAACACAGGCAAGCAGGGACGACGGGATCTTCTTTCCAATCTTATGCGTCTGTTCAAACTCCTTGAGTGACGCCTTGGTAAGAAACACGAGCGTCGGGACAGCTGCACAAACCACAGCAGCATTGACGACTGCTCGCCGCGTCAGGTTCTTGGAGAAATTCTCCAAAAACTTCTCAAACTCCTCACGGTCCAGGAAGCCATCGCTGTTCAAGTCAAATTTCTGGCAGCAATCAATCGTGCAAGGGGAAACGGCAGAGTCTGAAGGTGCAATTCCACTTCTGGGACCGAGCCAGAAACCACCCAGTCGTGAGGCGGCTTGGGTGCGAGGGTGTTTATAAAGGAAGAAACGGCGTGCATGCAGCAAATGCGGAATGCAGCAGGATGGGCTGGATATTTGTGGGCCATGCTGGTGCGCTTGCTTGATCTGTATGCTGCTTCTGCTGGGTCCTTACTTTGTTCGCTCTCCTTACCCTGATAGCTCTGCTTGCTGCTACCATTGCTCTCTGCACTCCTGCCGCCTGACCTCTAGCTCACCTGCATCATTCTGAAGACCTCTGTCTTCTTGGGTGGATCCAGGTGTGACCCTGGGGAGAACTTATTCACATAACTGGCAACATCGGGTGGTAGGGAGGGAGGTTTAAGGATAAGTAGAAAAAAGGTCAGGAGGAGGCCCCTAAAACGTGATTTCAGGTGTGACGCCATAGCTGGGGAGAACTTCATCCACATGGTTGGTTCGGCAAGACAGGGTGGTCGGGCGATTGAAGGTTCCAGGAAGAAGGACACGGAAAGGCAGGATTTCTTTGTTCATTCATCTTGCTATTGTGTCGCTTGAAAGCTCCACGGGGCCACTAGGGCGACTTCGAGGAGGGCGATCCTGAGGGCGACCAGGAGGACGACCATAAGCGTCGCACTAAAAGACGCCTAAGAGACTTACTTATACGCGAGCAGCACGCAGGCGTAGAGCTCCGCGGCGTTGATGACCTGGCGGCCGTCGTGGCCGGGCGTGCGGTCCAACTCCGCGAACTCGTAGAACGCCTTGTCCATCGCGCGGGTTACCACGGAATGATCTGCGAACAGGGGCGAAAGGGGAAAAAAGATCGTCTTCGGCTCGTGCGGGTGGAATGTGAGTGTTACGCGACGTCTAGTTGTTAGAAGAACGTGCAAGGCGTGGTATTGCCGCGGACCCTGGTCCCGCGCCATTGGCTCACAATTGCAGCAATCTCATTGCTGCGACCTTGTTGTTGCAATTTCCACTTGCCGGTCCCTCTTGATGACGAAAACGAGACTGACAGACATTGGAATTGGAGACTACTTAGCGAAATGGCTCTTACTTCCAAATCCCATCCCGGCTTGATGTTAAAATCGAAGTCGTAGCCTGCACACTGCCGCGCGGCGAACTATTAGAAGTGGTTAGTTGCCATCTGGACGCTTTGAGTGTTGAAGTAGCTGGGCCCTAGCAGCCTCGAGTACGGACTGCATTGGACCAGGGCTTTCAGTGGCATGTGAACTTATTCGTGAGGTTTAGAAAGAAAACTACAAGAAGGCTTTCTCAACTGCTGCCCTTCACAAGAGGGCCTGCTCAAAACGAGTACAGCTTTGTTTCTAGGAGCAGACTGTGGCCTTCGGTCAGGGGCCTTGTCCGTTGTGCTGGTAAAGTCAACCCGAACCACAGCCGAGGCTTGGTGGTGTGGCGTGGTTGTTTGGGCCAAAGGCGCCGTCGCTGGCGAAGGACTTTCCGTACCAGGCGGACTGCGCCCGCCCGCAGTGCTGTACAGTTGAACGGTAAGGGGGTGTCGAAAGTGCAATGTCGACGACATCTGTCAAGATGCATGTCGTTTCAGTGCGGCTTTATTGTTCGTAGAACGATTAAAAGGTTCTCAGCTCGGTGCCTCGACATCTGGGATGTCGACGGATGTCGGAGGGTACTTCAGGCACGCCCCCGCAAACACCACTTTCCGCACCCGCCGCAAGCCCGAGGGGGTTCGCCGTGACTTTGGACGGTGGTTTACATTGAACCACTCTGTACCGCACATAAACATGAAAAACCCTTCGCAATAATGAACCCCTTGATATTGCCATGGGCCGTGGGAGCCTGTCTCTCTGCTCTAAGATGCACTCTGTTTCCTAGACCGCCATCACTGAACTTTAGTTCCCTTGACACAGTTAGTTGCCTCCTTAGTTCACGGTTCTCAGAATGCAAGCTTAGTAGTTGCTGCTGCTGCTGCTACTCACAGTTTCTTTCCGTAAAGTACTTGCGTGCTGGATGCGATTCTCTGATTACCTCCATTCTGTGACTTCATAACCCACGTAACTCGACGCTGTCATATTCCCTAATGTAATGCCTTCACCTGGCTCCTTATACCGTTAGTATCGATAACATTTTATAGAATCTAGCGCGCAACAGCTAACAGCTACTCTCACCAGCAATTTTCTGCCGTCTTCTGTTCACAGCCGTTGATATGCACATGTTTTTCTTCCTGTACCCGTTTGTACGCGTTTCAATAAGGTGCATTTAACCCCGAGGACTGTACCCCGTTTGTTTTTCCCCGATGTCCACGGAAACGGCGCGACATTCGGGTCGAGAGACGGAAGAAGGAGCGAGTAGCCTTTCTATTTCGTCGAGCATGAGAGACGGCGATAAAGCGACAGATGATGACGTGGCGAGTTCTAATTTGCGACGGAAGTCGGCATCGTTTAGTGGGACAGACTCCCTCCGAGTACTCAGCTCAGGCCACCACGTAGCAGGACACGTGGCAGGACACGAGACAGGACACGTGGCAGCATTACCAGGAACTGCGGCTGGTTTTGAATCACGTGACCCGTGGACTATGGCTGATGCCATGACCGTTATCTCCGAATGCTCCGTAGGGGACGACGCGACTGCTTGCGATGCTAATGCGGCCGCTGATGCTACTGATGCTGCTGCTGCTGATGGTGAAGCGGGTGCTGCTGCTGCTGCTGCTGCTGCTGATGCGGCTTCTGGTGCTGCTGCTGGTACTGATGACGAAGCAGCAGCTGCTGTGGTCGCAACTGACGATCCCGATCGGCGAAACGGCAACACCGTAGCTGGTACCAACAGCGGGGCTACATCCGTGTCAGATCGGGGTCCAGTCCACGTCAGCAACGCGTGTCACCGTAGCCTAACTGCCAGCCTTCGACCGCCAAGCCCGGCCACAGGTACTGCTAGTAGCAGTATTTCTGTAGGGTCCAATGGGAGTAGCTCTGTAGAATCTAACAGCTCAGTCAACCGGTCCGCGTTGACTATAGGAGCTCCGGACGTTACACGCTCCGCAGACAGCCCTGCCGCCCTAACATGCAACCACATTTCGCCAGAGCCGCACCTCGTCGCCAGTTCCTCTCCCGCGCGTACTAGTAGTAACACTCACCCGCCCTTCGCTCCTAGTGCGGTAACGACGTCAGGAAGCCTTCGCCCAGCAAAGCCTGTGCGTAACCTTAGCCCATTGACGAAACCGGGTAACCCTATGTCACCTGTTCCACCAGTTACTCCGGACAAGTCCCAAAGTCCTGTAGTGACTGGTGACCCCCTGGCCAGCAGTAGCCCCATGCACACACAGAGCTGCGGAAACGGCTCCACACTTGCGCCAGAACCTTCCGCCGATTCCCCTTCCTCCGCCCTCAAACCCTCTCACTCCCCCTCCGCCTCCGCTTCCGCTTCCGCTTCCACGTCCGCATCGGCCTGTGCCCCCGCGCCTGCTCCCCCCGCCCGGAACGGCCTCGTCCTCCCCGGGCGCGCTTCCCTGGACACCCTCCAATCCTCCCCCGCACCCCCGCTCGCGCTGGCGAACCCCCGCCGAGTTTCCGCGCGGAGAAGCGCGAGCGGTGGAGAAAGCTCGGGGCTGTCCCTGATCAACCGCCGAACCGCAGCAGCTGGCTCGGGAAGAGGCTTGGCAAGCAGGCGCGAGCTACCGGGGCTGAACAGGCCCGGGAGAGGAGTGGGGGGGATAAAATTAGACATGGGCGCGCTTCAGCGGAGCAGGGGGGAGCGGGATTTCGCGCGGGAGGCGCAGGAGGCGCAGGCCAGGCGGGATAAATTTGCGTTTTTCGAAAAGGATTGTAGCCGAGTGTTGGAGCATGTGTATGTGGGGAGCGACTTTGTAGCGAGAAGCAGGGAGGTTCTTAAGGAGGCTGGGATCACGCACGTGCTGAACTGCGTGGGGTTTGTGTGTCCGGAGTATTTCCCAGAGGAGATTAAGTACAAGACCCTTTGGCTGCAGGTGAGCTGCTATGACTCGCAGTGAAACCCCCCCCGCCCCCCCTCCCCACCCCCCCCACACCCCCCGCCCCCCTGCCCTCTCCCCCAACCAGGGCTTACGCTAGGCCCTAGGGAGTTTCGGAGGGTCCCGAGATGGGGTCCAGAAGTACCCAGAATTTTCCGGATCCCAAGGAAATTTCACCCAGAATCCTTCCGAGTTCTCGACATAGCAACCGTGCCAAAGGTCGTGTCAGTCATCTCTCCTGATGTGTGCAGGGAACATGACTGGGCTGATTGGCTCAAGTCCTGAAATCGTCCCACTACCTTTTGTTATTCGTGACGTGAGAATCTTCGCCACCACGCAGTGGAATGGAAGTTCTCCTCACAAACCTCCATGCTATGAGACTAGTTCGTCAGGATTCATGAAAATAGTACACGGAATGGATCAGGATTTCAAGGAGAATCCAGTCGGAAACATTCAGAGTTTCGGAAAATCCCAACCTGTTAAAATCCGGGTTCGGGGCTTGAACAACTCTTAATTTCTCGACATTTAGGGTAGCTACCCTTCTAGCGTAAGCCCTGCCCCCAACACCCCCTCGCTCCCCCTTTTCTCCACCCATCATGGTGGCAACAGGGCTCTTCCCTGCGTTTCCATCCCTCACCTCACCTTTTTCCCCCCTCCTCCCCTGCTCACCTCTCCCCTCCTCGTGCTCTCCCAGGGCAAGACGGGCGAGGGCCTGGTGTGTGTGCTGTACGACTTCTGACTGCATCGAGTGAGTCAGGGGTGCCAAGCCAAGGAATTTCACTCGGTGCAACCATCTTTCCCGTCCCCCCCTTCTTCCCCTCTCCCAGGACAACGCAGGCGAGGACCTCGTGTGCGTGCTGTATGCAGTCTGACTACATCGAGTGAGTCAGGGAGGCCAAGGGTGCTGATCATTGCAACCCCCCCTCCCCCCCCCTCCCCAATCGCGCAGGGCAACACGGGCGAGGACCTGGTGTGCGTCTTATACGACGTGTTTGACTACATTGAGTCGGTGCGGGAGGGCAAGGGTGCTAACAATGCAGTCTCCCCCGTCTCACCCTTGTCCTCCCCACCCCTTCCCTCCCCCTTTTCCCCCCCTATCAGGACAACACGGGCGAGGACCTGGTGTGCGTCTTATATGACGTGTTTGACTACATTGACCAAGGCAGTTAGGCGGGCTAGGAGCGTTCACCCTAGCAACCGCCCTTCTGACCTCCCTACCACCACCCCTCCATCCCCCCCTCCCCCTTTCCCCCCCCTATCAGGACAACACGGGCGAGGACCTGGTGTGCGTCTTATATGACGTGTTTGACTACATCGAGTCGGTGCGGGAGGCCAGCGGGCGGGTGTTCATCCACTGCTGCCAGGGCATCAGCCGCTCCACCTCTCTTGTCATCGCCTACCTCATGTGGCTCGAGGTATGTGCAGTGCAGCGTGTAGTGTCTACAGTGGTACAGGTGAGTACAGTGGTACAGTGGGTACAGTGGGACAGTCAGGGGGACCAAGCGGCGGGTCTTTATCCACTGCTGCCAGGGCATCTCGCGCTCCAAGCCCCTTGTGATCGCCTCTCTCATGTGGCGCGAGGCATGGGAAGAGAGCATTGGCTACGGGTCGGGTCTGTTTCAAGGTACGTAGCAGTCTGTGCTACAGTGAGCCCGCTTCTGCCAGGGCAGGCTGCCTCTGGCTCTGGCCTGAGGTCAGCGAGAGACGGCCTGCCCAGATTGCTCCTCCCTGGTCGCTTACCTCTTGTGGCTCGAGGTGTGTTCTCTTGAGTCGACTCAAAAGCCACCTCATGTGCCTCGAGGTGTGTTAACTTTTGAGCCGACTCAAGAGTCACCTCATGTGGCTCAAGGTGTGTTAAGGTGCGGAGAGCAGTGGCTATTTGTTAAACCCCCAGCAAGAGCTTCGCATGCCAGCTGCTGACAACACAGCAAGTACCGCCCCACCCCCTCCCTCTCTCCCCTCCCGTCTTCAGAGCATTGCCTTCGGCGATGCGTTTAAACGAGTCAAAGCATTGAGAGCTGTCGCTAACCCCAACATGGCGATGCGTTAAAGCCGGTCAAGGCCCTAAGGGCAGTAGCCAACCCGAACATGGGGTTCGCCTGCCAGCTGCTGCAGTGGCAGAAGCGCATCCTGCCCCCCTCTCCCCTCTCCCGTCCCTTCCTCTGCCCCACAGGCCCTTCCCTTCGGCGATGCGTTCAAACGCGTGAAAGCCCTAAGAGCTGTCGCCAACCCCAACATGGGGTTCGCGTGCCAGCTGCTGCAGTGGCAGAAGCGCATCCTGCCCCCCTCCGCTCTTGATCCGCCTGCTGAGCCTGACCCCCCTGCTCCCGCTGCTGTTACTTCTCGTGGTGCCGGTGCTGCTGAGGTGGCAGGGGCAGAAGCAGCAGCAGCAGCAGGAGGAGGGGTGGTTGAAGCAGCAGCAGCAGCAGCAGCAGGAGGAGGAGGAGGAGCAGGAGGAGGAGGAGGAGCAGCAGCAGCAGCGGCAGCAGGAGGACCAGTGCTGGCAGCAACGGCAGCAGGTGGTGCTGCATATACGGCAGTGGGGCGCCAAGCATCAGCAGCATTACCGCAGCGTGCACAGAAACAACCAACACGACCATTGGCAGCAGAATCAGCACCGATAGCGTCACCAGCAGTGGCGTCAGCGGGACCAGGGGCGGCAGGGGTGGCATCAGGGGGACCAGGGTCGGCATCAGGGGTGGCGTCAGAGGCGGCAGAAGCGGCATCAGGGGCGGCAGAGGCGGCATCAGGGGCGGCAGGCAGCTGTCACATGTACCGCATGGCGCCGCACTCCCCGTACGACGCGCTTCACTTGGTGCCCAAGATCACTGCCTTCTCCAGGCACTCCCTCGACCCGCGAGGGGCCTTCATCGTGCAGGTGAATGCCCCTTGATTCGTATGTAGTAGCTCAGAGCTGCCACATGTTCTGCTTCTTTTGAGTCGACTCAAAAGGTTAGCCCCTCTTGATTCGTGGAAACACAGACAGCTGTCACATGTACCGCATGGCGCCGCACTCCCCGTACGACGCGCTTCACTTGGTGCCCAAGATCACCGCCTTCACTCGCCGATCCCTCGACCCGTGAGGGGCCTTCATTGTGCATGCCATGCCATGCCATGCCATGCCATGCCATGCCATGCCGTCCTGTCATGGCAGAACGTGCCATCTCCCCACTCATGCCTCCAATCCTTTTGCAGGGTGTTTATGAGAACTCTAAAAAACACCCTGGCTGGCAGAACGCCCAATCTCCCTCATGCCTCAAATATTTCGACTCCATCTGCTCTCCACTCTGCTGTTTGCTGCTCCTGCCCCTTCGACCCCACCAGATACTGGCAGAATTGCCAACCTGTCATGGCCTTTCTTTTATCCCTCTCTCCCCTTTCCCCTCTCCCTCCTCTCCCTCCCCCCCCTCCCCTCTTCTCCCCCCCCACTGTCCTTCGACCCCACCAGATACGGACGAAAGTGTACTGCTGGCGGGGCCAGGAGTGCCACCCTCTCATGGCCAAACAGGCCCTCACTGCCGCCGCCCAGATCATCAAGTACGAACGGCTGGGGGAGGTGGTATCTACTGCAGCCGGGGAGGTGATACCTGCAGCTGGGGAGGCGGTATCTGCAGCGGCATATGGGTCTGGGAAGGTGGCACCTGGGGAAGGTGGGCAGTGCGAGCAGGAATCACAGGTGCTGAGTGAAGCGGAACGGATAAAAGAGCTGCAAGACTCGCAGTGGCAGGAGCAGGAGCAACCGCAACAACAACAACAACAACTAGAGCACCCACAGCCACAGCCACAGCCACAGCCACAGCCACCAACGTCACACTTGCTATTGGCACAAGCACCATCGCCTCCATCCGTCCCTATCCTCATTCTGGAAGGGAGAGAGCCCCCCGAGGTACTAGCAGAACTGGATGCAGCCGACGCAGCAGCAGCAGCAGTGGCAGCAGCAGGGGGAGGAGAGGGAGGGGGGAGAGACGCTATGGGGGGGACGACCCAGGCAGAGCTTGATGCTCACATGCAGGCTGTCAGGAAACAGGGGCTGACGTACCTCGGGCAGGACGCAAATCTTTTGAGCTGCCCGGTGCATGGGAAAGGGTCACCGCTGAGCAGAGGAACTGGAGGGAGAGAGGCGGAAAACGGGTGTGCTAGTAGCAGTGGGGAGGATAAAGTGGGATGTGATATTAAAGGGGGGCGTGATAGGTGTGGGGCTCCTGGAAACAGCCAAGCAGCGGATCAGGGCATGAGAGAAGGAAGAGGATGTGATAATATTGGAGGGGACAGAGGTAGGAGAGGCAGAGGGGAGGAAGCAGCTAGAGAGGAGGAATCAGCTAGAGGAAAGGGAACAGAGAGAGGGGAGGAAGCGCCTGAGCCCATTGTTGCTGGGCCAGTTAAGGGCAGAGGGAGCAGAGAAGAGCTGTCTGTAGGTAATGGGGACGGGAGTGAACCAGGGAGAGTTGGAGTGGGGCTGGGTGGTGAGAGGGCGAGAGAGGCGTCAACGAAAGGAGGAGCTGGTTTAAGAGAAAGTGGTGGCTCGAGCAGCAGCAGCAGCAGCAGCAGCAGCAGCAGCAGCAGCAGCAGCAGCAGCAGCAGCAGCAGCAGCAGCGCCACCACCACTACCGTCAGCACCACCACCCCGACTGCCCCCATCACCACGACTACCAGCACTGCCACTACCACCGCCACTACCAGCGCAAGCTGCGCAACCAGCATCAGCATCAGCAGCAGCATCAGAAATCGAATGCTACCTTTCTCCCGCACCCCCTCCTCGTCCTCCACCTCCGCCCCATCCTCCCCTCCCCCCACCTCCCCGCCTCCCCCCTCCTTCAACCCTCCCCCCAAACCCGACTACGACTCCGATTTTGAATACTTCCAAAAAGCCGTCATGGGCGGCACGCCGCGTCCTGTAGCGGGCTTCGTGTCCCCCTCTTCGAAGATTCTCCCGCACAAGGGGCGGGGGTGGGTGACAGAGGAGGTGCTATGCAGCATGAGTCTGCTGCACGACCCCTACACGTTGCTGTATGACCCGTGCGCCGTGCTGCTGGGAAGGCAGAGCTCGAGGGAGTGGCCTGCTGCGTGGAAGCCTCGGCACCAGCACTTCCCTGTGCTGCCTAAGAAGAGCGCGAGTGTGGCTGAGACAGGGGCGGAGGGTAGGGAATGAGTTTGGAGTGGCTGCTGCATGGTTCTTGAGCTCGAGAAAACTGTTCGCTGCGTGGAAGCCCTGGCACCAGCACTTCCTGGTGCTGCCTAAGGCGGTTCTTCTAGAGGCGCCTCAGAAGCCCCGGCACCAGCACTTCCTGGTGCTGCCTAAGAAGAGCATGAGCGTCGCTGGGGCAGAGGGAGTTGGGGAGCCAGAGTGTTGGCGAGTTGGGGGGAGGGGAGGTGGGGAAGGAATGACTTTCAGACTTGTGCCAAAAAATCCCTCACCACCAGCACTTTCCGGTTCTGCCTTCGACGAGCCAGAGTGTTGTAGGGTGCGTGGGGTGTGTGTGGTGGGTTGGGAGAAGGGGAGGATCAGGAGGCTCAAGCGTGGACGGACTTGTGTGCTGTAAGACCAGCCCCATTAATTGCTGTGGCGAAAACCAACACCAAGTTCTGATGGGATATTGCTAACTTCTTGCTTGCGTGCAAAAGAGCTGTAGTAAAACCTCTTCTTTCATTATCCAAGTTTCAACCACAGTAAGATGCACTGGCTCATTTCGGAGCAAGCCCTTCTGAAGTATACAGTCTAAGTCAACAAGGTATAGAAAAACCATCTGATAGTGACTCTTAATTATTCACATATGGACAATTACTTACATGCACCTGCATTAGAAGCCACTCCACCACACCAGCATCTCCTACTCATCTGTAGCCACCATCTATCTACTAGCAAGCATGCTCTAGCCATGTGACCCATGGTTTCATCTAGCCATGTAGCCATGCCACCCACGGGTATCATCTAGCCATGTAGCCACGACGGGAAGAGCCAATTGGCGAGCAGCGTGAGGGCGAGGAAGACCACAGCATGCACGAGCACCGAAGGCAGGGAGGTGCGCCAGTTTTGAATCTCCAGAGGCTGGTTGTCACCGGGGATCTGCAACACAGGGGGGGAACGACGAGCAAGGGGAGGGGAAGGGCAGAGGAGATTCTGGCAACTGTAGGTGCAGCAGGCAGAGACGTGGGCCAGTTTTGAATCTCCAGGGGCTGGTTGTCACTGGGGATCTGCGAAGGCGGTGCTTAGGACAGCACAGCACCGCATGCATACACGAGCACGGAGGGGAGACACGTGGGCCAGTTCTGAATCTCCAGGGGCTGGTGGTCACTGGGGATCTGCGAAGGCGGTGCTTAGGACAGCACAGCACCGCATGCATGCACGAGCACGGAGGGGAGACACGTGGGCCAGTTCTGAATCTCCAGGGGCTGGTTGTCAACGGGGATCTGCCAAGCACGGATAAGGGTGCGACGAGAAGGGGGGGGGAGAGGGAGGGTGAGTATCAGAAGACAGCTCTGCAGGCATGTCTGACCACGGAGGGGAGGGAGGGACGTGCGCCCATTCTGGAAATCCAAGGGCTGGCTGTTACCGGGGGATCTGCACAGATGAAATGTCGAATTGGGGAGCGCCGAATAGCCCGCGAAAAAGCAGCGAGGATGAGGGGGGATGAGAACACACGAAAGGATCCTATTTTTGAGGCGCCTAAAAAATAGACAGAGAAGGACATGGAGGGATACGGAAGGAGAAAGAATAAAGGAGGGGGGGGGGGGGGGGGGGGGGGGGGGAGGGGGGAGGGAGGGTGCAGGGAAGCAGGGGGGAAGAAAGTTGCACCAAGTGGGTGGAAACAATATTGGCTGTGGAAGCATTCTGTGGAGATGTTAGGCGCCTATAACGCAGTAGCGCGACAGGAGCGTACCTGCAGCAGCATCCCCGGGGACAGCAGGATGAAGAGCACGGTGAGGAACACGAGGCCATACCACGTGAAAAACATCATGCCTCGATTAGCCTGTTGCTCCGGTTGTTAAGACCTTGGACCGCTGTGGTCTTGCTGATAAAAGCTAGGAACGAGAAACCAGCGAGCTCGATTAGCTTGAAAGCTCCGCGCCTTAAGAGTTAGAAACAAGAAAAAGCGCGAACAAGAGGGGGGGTTTCAGAGCGTCACTGCGGAGGGAGACCAGAAGGGAGACCTCAAGAGGAGAATAGGGGATCGGATACATTCTGATAGTATAGGTTCCGGGAGCGTGGGGAGGGTCAGGATGCGGCGGATGCCGCGAGGCGAGACCGTAGGCGAGATCGTCCGTCGCGTCGTGACGCAGGGGAAGGATGATGGGATGAGAGCACGCAATGCTACCGCGTTCCGCAATTTCTGAGTTTGCGACATGCGGCCCGAGCGGTGTCGCTTCCACGTCGGAGGTGGCCGAAAGCAGCGTGCATGGCGGTAGGGCCTGACGTGTCGTGGCAGTGGGACAGCCTGCAAACGCATCCTACTGCTACGTATCAGCTGTGATGAAAGGATGTTGCAATAAACGCGGAGAGCATGGTTGGGGTGGGATGGGATGCGGTCATGCGAGACTTTGCCATTCCCGATTGCAGCCGATTCGATTGCGCCCGAATGCAGGGTGATACAATTTTTTCCAAGTAGTTCTTATGAGTATGTACAGATATACCAGTTTGCTATAATGCTTCCATGAGATGAGATCATAGAAGATGTGTGTTTTGACATTTGTAATTGGTTCAACTCCAGGCGCGGAAATGCTACGTTCACACAACGGTTATCTGAAATATGGTATTTCTTTTAGACAAACACACCCCCCTCCCCCATTACTTATTTGTGACATCTTTTATCGAAAGCATTTTCCCACATAACTGGTTTCTTGATTTCAAATGACACAAGATTAGTGACACTGCACAAGCCCAAAAACGGGGGAAAATGAAGTGCTTAAGACAATACTATGCACAATTACAAGGCTAATAAACCAGAATGCCCTCTGAACCCCTAGTCTCAACTCATATTAAGGTAACAGCAGCAGGGCTGCCGTTATCAGACCAAATCGGTCTGATGGTCTGAAAATCAGACCGGGTTTTTATGTTTTCATCTGATTTTTTGACGAGCCAAATAATATTCGTCTGATCGTTCAGACAAGTTATAAGAATTCGTATGAAACATCAGACTAGGTGTACACATTCATCTGATTTATCAGACCGGCCGTTTTTTTCCGTCTGATACCGACAAATCCGCCCTTCTAGCAGCAGGGCCACTAGTCCACATGCCCATTGGGCCACTGCCTGCCACCCAGTCCCGTGTGCACCGCAGCACGCGCATTCAATTCTACCCCAAGCGCGGCAGCAAAACAGTCCAGCGCACACAAATTTACAGCTTGCTGACACAAGCTGCTGCCACGCCACTATCTTGTTACGGGCACCGTCGCTGCCAGCGGTACCAGGCAAGCAGCGCTGGTCAGCAATGTGCCAGCGCATTTCCTGATGAAACCGCAAGCCACCCTCGTCGTGCCATCACGGCGAGGGTTTCCTATTGAATCTGCAACCCCAAGCTGCTCTTCTTCGAGCTGCCATGGTGTACAATCAGCCCACAGAAGCCCCAACCTCAGACCACCACGTCTCAGAGAACCACTCCCTGCAGCCATGAGTGCTCTCTCTGGTGTCCTCGTCCTAGTGCTTCATTCTTGGCTGGCTCTCCCACCTAGTTCCTGCTCATATCGTGTGTCTCATCTTATGGCCTTAGAGGAGGTTAATGCTAACCCTCCTAAAGATGCCGCACCATCGACGGTTACGGGGCTAGACCTGCTTCGGTCCCGACCCCCGCCGCCTCCCCTTAGCACTGAGCCGCGTGAGAGGCGTATGCCCGTCGAGCCTACTCTGCCTGTCAAACCCGCACCGCCTTTCGCTAGTCGACATACGACTAGTCGTCGAGAGGCTAGTCCTAGTACGAGTAACAAGCATGCGTTGAGTTCTCCACCCTCGCTCGCTCTCCCGCCGCTAGTCCGCCTCCTGCAGCAGCGTGTGCACGATCGCGTAGCCTGTCTCCTGCTGCCCGCTCGCACGTGCTTAGTCCTCCCCCTACAGTGGCTCCTCTGAGCCCACTGCCTCCGTTGGACACGGAGCCATGGATCATCTTTGGTGCTGAAGGCTCCGAGCTCGACTCTGCTACTAGGCCTTCCCGTCCGTCATCACCTACAAGGCAAACCGTTTCTGCCGGCCTTCCGCCACGCGTCTTTGGAGGGCCCGTCTTGCCCGCCTGCAAGCCTGACAAGGCAAAGTACATCCAGTGCAAACTCAGCTTCGGTCGTGGCATGCCGGC